TATTAATTGAATTTTAAACACAAAAAAATCTCTCAAGTGGGGTTTTTGCATAAATGCATGTGTACACTACATTCAAAATGTTTGAATAAAGGCAAAATTTATGATTATTTTTGGTGTTTTAAAATTAGCTTATTTGAAAGTCTTATACGTCAATGACCCTCAAATATGTTTGAACCACCAAACACTTAACTTGCAATGCAAACACTGTACTAAAGACAGCAAATTTAGAAAATTAGAGAAATGCAGTGATAGGTAGTCAGGTAAGGCCTGAAAAATGTAAATGCAATCCAACAGTAACAGATATGTACAGCACTTTATTAAAGGTACCATGTGTTTCTGTATGAATTAAGATATTAAAAGGCAGTGACAAATAAATACAATGTAATTGGTGACTGATCCTGGTGTTACCTGGAAAACATGTCTGCAGGTGTTCAGTCAGGGCCTCCTGGGTGACAGGTTTATGGGTGGAGTTCATAGCAGAGATAGCCAACAGCAAAACCTCACCCAAAGGGATGAACTGTGATTGGCTGATGGGGGACATACTGATGGGTGAAACATCCCCTGTGAAAAGACAGAAATCAGTTACTTTGAGTGATACTTGGATTAAAATCGACTTATTTACATTGCTAACATGTCAACATTATGCTTTTTAATATGCTGGAAAACACAACATGAGTGATAAAAGCAGCCGATGACATGGCGATGCATTTCCACTGACAATGGTCTCCAAAACTCAGATTCTGACATTTTTATATGTACCATACCCAACGAGCCAATCCTGTGTACTTGTGGGGTGGGTTTTCCACACCAGAAGTTTACATACGCTGTATTAAAAGACATAAAACTTTTTTTTCTCACTGTCTGACATTAAATCTGACTAAACTTTTCCTGTTTTACGTCAGTCACAATTATCAAAATTATTTCTATTTGCGAAACACCCAAATAATGGGAGAGAGAATGTTTTTTTACTTCTTCAAAGTCAGAAGTTTACAACCATCTCCTCAGTATCTGGTAGCATTGCCTTTAAACTGTATGACTTGGGTCAAACATTTTGGGTTTCCTTCCACAAGCTTCTCACAACAGTCTGATGAGTTCTGGCCCATTCCTCCTGACAGAATAGGTGGAACTGAGTCAGGTTTGTTGGCCTCCTTGCTCCACACGCCTTTTCAGCTCTACCCACTAATGTTCTCCAGGACTGAGATCAGGGCTTTGTGGTGGCCACTCCACAACACTGACTTTGTTGTCCTGAAGCCTCTCTGTAACTAATCTGGTGGTATGCTGAGGGTCGTTGTCCATCTGAAGACCCATTAGTGCCCAAGCTTTAACTTCCTGCTGATGTCTGGAGATGCTGCTTCAATATTTCCACATAATGTTCTTTCCTCATGATGCCATCTATTGTGCGAAGTGCACCAGTCCCTCCTGTAGCAGAACACCTCCACAGCATGATGCTGCCACCCTCGTGCTTCACAGTTGAGATGGTGTTCTCAGACTTCAAGCTTCCCCCTTTTTCCTCCAAATGTAACGATGGTCATTAAGGCAAAACAGTTCAGGTTTAGTTCCATCAGACCACAGGACATGTCTCCACGAAGGAAGCTCTTTGTCCCCGTGTTCATTTACAAACTGCAATCTGTCTTTTCTATGTTTCGTCTGGAGGAATGTCTTCTTTCTCTCTGAGCAGCCTTCCAGCCCATGTCGGTACAGGACTGGTTTCACCGTGGATAATGACTCTCTCATTATTCTGGTGTTTAGCAAATAGAAATAATGTTGGTAATCCTGACTGACCTGAAACAGGAAAAGTTAAAGGACGACATAAAAATAAATTTAGAACTAAATGACAATGGAGAGGTGACGCCATCCGTGCTCTGGGATGCACTCAAAGCAGTAACAAGGGGAAAAATAATAGCCACATGGTAAGAAAGTTTGGAAGAAAGATCTCCAAACTTTGGAGGACAAATATAAGCAGCTACAGAGAAAGCATGTATACACTTCAAATGATGAAATCAGGTCAAACATCACCAAAACAAAGAAGAGAACAGACCAAATAAATACATATGAAACACAAAAAAAGATGCTATTTACAAGACAACGCTATTATGAAACTGGTTGGAAATCTCTGAAACGTCTATCTTACAGATTGGGGGGAAAAAAACAAGTAGAATATAAGATAAGAAATCTATCACAAGAGCGGTTGAAACGACACTGGAAGGAACCCCGAAGTGTTCAATAAATCATCGTTCTCGGCCACAAACTAACCTTCAGATCGACTCTTTCCCAGCCTCAACCAATCTGACCTCTATCACTGATAAACAAAGCAAACATTTGAGAGCAGAAATTAAAAAAAGAAGAATTACATGAAGCAATTGGAAGGCTAAAGGTAAACATGGATGGTTTCACCTCAGAATGGTACAAATCAATGCAGGAGCAGCTAGGACCAACACTGCTCAAATCCTTTTGACTGGGTCGATACCAAAGGACAGGAAAGACAAACTAGACTGTAGTAATGACCGTCCCATTAGTGTACCAAATGTGAACTATAAATTGTTCACATCCATGCTATCAAAAAGGATACAAAATATTTTACCAGAACTTATCCATTTGGACCAGGCAGGTTTAATTTGACAAAGACAAGATAATATCAGTAGAATATTGCACATTATTAAACATGTCACACAACAGAAAGTAGAGGTGGCCATTATAAGCGTAGACGCTGAGAAGCATTTGGTTAAGTCAGATGGTCCTTCTACTACAAAGTACTATTGAAATTTGGCTTCCATATGTCTACTATTGAAACACTTCAGGCACTATATCACAAACCATCTTCAAGACAAATTTAATGGTGACTCATCAAATTCATTTACTTTAGAACGAGGACCAAGACGAGGCTGCTGTGCCTTTATACTCTTCTTTGCCTTGTTTATAGAACCCTTAAGTCAATGGATTCGACAAAATGCTGATATCAAGGGGATGTTATCATTTGAGTTCTTGACTACAATCAGTTAAAATGAACATCCTGCCTCGTCTGCTATATCTTTTTCAAGCTCTCCCAGTGAAAATACTAACCAAACAAATCATAGAATGGGATGGTCTGATATCTAGAGCTCTTTGGCAGGGGGAAAAAAACCCAGGATCAGATTTAAAACCCTGCAGCTGAAAACAGAATGTGGGGCCTCCCTTGCCTATGAGAATACTATAAGGCAGCACAGTTAGGGCCTTTAAATTGCTTGTGGACACCAACATACTCTGCAAGATGGAAAGAAAGTGACAACAAGAGAAGGGCCCCCAACAGAAGCGATGATAGCAGACGCTGAACTACAAAAGAAGATGATGCATAAAGATATCCCATGGACCGATATATTAATGAAAACCTGGCAGAAGACTGTCAAAATGTGCAGATTAATGGACTCGTCTAAATTATTAAGGTGGTTATGATACAGACTTTGTCCCAAACAGATTTAAAACTGGATAACAAAAGGTCTAACAAATTACCACCCATTTGTCCACACGGGGGCATTTCAGAGCTCTGAAGCATTACGAAAATGATTTCTATAGATACCTTCAAGTTGGCCATTATTTTAGGCAGAATCTAAATTGTCCGACAAGCAGCAGACACAGGTATCATGAAAATACTCTCGTCGTCAACCAAATCCACAACATGGAACAAGATTGTGTCCTGAATTTATAATAGCAATCTCCAGTCTAAGACCACATTTCCACGTAGCAAAAACTGTGATATTTCAGTGGGCCTTTGGTTTACACATAAACGAAGCTACGAGTCACCGAAAACGATCACATCTGAAAACTCCGGCCACAGTCGAGATTTGGAAAAACTCTGTCTTTTGCATGTAGACAGGAGGAGATGGAGTTTGACATCACAGTATGCGACAAAAGCGTCATCAGCGTCACATAGATAGATAGAACTTTGGAACTTCATTGATCCCTTTGGTAGAACCTCAGGGAAGTTGTTGAAATGTGTGCGACCGTGTTTACAGTTTGGCTGCTGTGATAGAAATCAAGTATTTTCCTTGTTGTGTACTCTAACACCACATGTAGGAGTAGCTCCACTTCTCTGTCGGTCCAAACAAACAACCCCATTGTTGTTACACTGCCGCCTGTAGGTATGGCAGCTCATAGCAGCTCTTAATGACGTGTTAATGACAAACACTGCTACGAATACTGCTGGCCGCAAGCAAAAAGCTACAACAAAAAACTGGGTAACGCCAGAGCCACACACCATTGGTGACTGGATAGAAATATATATTATGGAAAGAATGACCATTTCACTCAGAATCCAAAAAGAAAGATTTTAGCTGATTCCGACCAAATGGACTAATTACATTAAACCCACAAGGTCAGACTTTGACACGGTTAGATAATGTATTAATTAAATAAATGTAATACCTGTCCTTTATGTGGTCTCTTCAATATACTCTTCATAATATACCTGAGTGGAAAGGTCCCCATGTTCACTTGTTAAATTAGAGAAAACCAGAGAAAACCTTAAGGAGTATGATGTAAGCAGATTTTCTTTTTGTTTTTGTTTTCATATATGTCACTGTAAGTGCACACAGTGTAAATACAGGGACCTTATAAATGCTTTTCAGAAATAAAAAAGAAAAAAAGAAAGCGGGTTTATTGTTTGGTTACAGATTGCAGGAGGTAGCTGCCCAGAGTTTCATTAGGAAGAGTGACTGAAATGACATCTGACAGCTGACTCCATCCTGATGTCTTCTATTTTTGCATATTTCTCACACTCAAACATTCCAGATCATCAAAGCTATATGTAATATTAGACAGAGATAACCCACAAAACACAAAGGATAGTCATTAAATTCTGATTTATTGAAGCTTTATTAAAAATCTGTATCACTCCTGTGAAGTCCCTCCCAAACCCAGTAGCTGGATGGGCCATCCTTGGCAGTGGAACGACAGCTTGTGATCAGTCCTTCACATGGCCATGGAGGAATGTAGCCCACTCTTCTCTGCACAACAGCTTAAATTTGACCCCTTTCGCTGTTTTTGAGCATCAACGGACCTTTAAGGTCCTGCAACAGCATCTCCAATGGTTCATGTCTGGACTTGGACTTAGCCACTCTTAAACCTTAGTGTTTTCTTTCTGAGCCATGGACTTGCTTGTGTGCTTTGGGTCCTGAACTGATGGGTGGATCTTTTCCAGGAAGATTTTCTGATCCAGAGCACAACTCATGACTCCATCAGTTACGACAAGTCGTCCAGGTCCTGTGGAAGCACAGCAACCCAAACATCACACTACCTGCACCATGTTTCACTGCTGCTATCATGCTCTTCTTCCACCTGTGGCTCATCAGTCCACAGGGTGTTACCCAGAAGTCTGGGAGCTCATCCAGACTTTCTCTTTTTGCAAATGCCAGATGAGCCTTCATGTTCTTCTTGGTCAGGAGTGGTTTTGGCCTTGCAGCTCTTCCATGGAGGCCATTTTAGCCCAGTCTTCGTTATTGTGGAATCATGAACTCTGAACTTAACTGAGGCCAGGGATTATCACTAAGAAGACATGATGAACGTTTTCAAGCTATTATGAGGCCAGG